GACTGACCCAACAGGCAGGGCTCACAGGGAAACCCCGTGCAAGCACACGGCAGCCTCTTCACACACTGCATGATGCTAAATAGGAGAGGAGGAGCCGTGACCAGCTGCAACATGGCACATTTCAGCTGAAAAAATATGGCAGCTGAGTCCCTACCATTGCAGCCAGCTGAACAAGCTGCAGAGAGTGACCAAATGAAATCTGTGCACAAGCCTACTTTGAGTGGGAAAAGATGCCTTTGGAATATTCAGCCTCAAGTATCAACATTCACTGACTAACTTTGGGCATTATGCTCTTTAGACTTAGATAGGTACTACACGTTTCTCTGCTTCAGGCAGCAGTGTTGCCTGGAACTGTCCACTAGGAAAAATCGCCAGAGGCATAAGCAAGATTTAGTTCTAGGTTCTTGTAGGTTTTTTCGGGCTATAGGGCCATGTTCTAGAGGCATTTCTCCTGACGTTTCGCCTGCATCTATGGCAAGCATCCTCAGAGGTAGTGAGGTCTGTTGGAAATAGAAAAATGGGTTTATATATCTGTGGAATGACTGGGGTGGGGCAAAGAGCTCTCTGCTGAAGCTAGGTGTGTGTTTGTTTTTGGTTGTGGCAAGCATCCTCAGAGGTAGTGAGGTCTGTTGGAAATAGAAAAATGGGTTTATATATCTGTGGAATGACTGGGGTGGGGCAAAGAGCTCTCTGCTGAAGCTAGGTGTGAATGTTTCAGCTGACCACCTTCATTAGCATTTGAAGGCCTGGCTGAGCCTGGGAAAATGTTTTGTTGAGAGGTGTTAAGATGTGCCTGGTTGTTTCCTCTCTGTTGTTTTGCTGTTGTAATTTTAGAGTTTTTTAATACTGGTAGCCAGATTTTGTTCATTTTCATGGTCTCCTCCTTTCTGTTGAAATTGTCCACATGCTTGTGGATTTCAATGGCTTCTCTCCGGGATTGTGGCGCAGCTGGCTGAGCTGCATTAAGATCACTCTGACCAAAAGGTCATGAGTTCGAAGCCAGCCCGGGCTGGAGTGGGTGTCCAGCCATTGTGTAGCCCGTTGTCGACCTTTGCAACCCGAAAGACAGTTGCATCTGTCAAGTAGGAAAATAAGGTACCACCTTGTGTGGGAGGCTAAATTTAACTAATTTATGAGGCCATAAAGAAAGAAGACTCCGGGGAATGTGGAATGCGGAAGAACTTCATCGGTGTCGTTGATGGACGATGAAAAGCAGCAGCTCCCCTGGCGGCCAGAAAAAAAAAGTTAAATAGCCTTTGTCTGTTAAATGTTGTTTGTCAAACTGGCATTGAATGTTTGCCATATATGTGTTTACTGTAATCCGCCCTGAGTCCCCTGCGGGGTGAGAAGGGCGGAATATAAGAACTGTAAATAAATAAATAAATAAATAAATAATGAGCCTCTTCAATGGCTTCTCTGTGTAGTCTGACATGGTGGTTGTTGGTGTGATCCAGCATTTCTGTGTTCTCAAATAATATGCTGTGTCCAGGCTGGTTCATCAGGTGCTCTGCTATGGCTGACTTCTCTGGTTGAAGTAGTCTGCAGTGCCTTTCATGTTCCTTGATTCGTGTTTGTGCGCTGCGTTTGGTGGTCCCTATGTAGACTTGTCCACAGCTGCATGGTATACGGTAGACTCCTGCAGAGGTGAGAGGATCCCTCTTGTCCTTTCCTGAACATAGCATTTGTTGGATTTTCTTGGTGGGTTGTAGATTGTTTGTATGTTATGTTTCCTCATCAACTTCCCTATGCGGTCAGTGGTTCCCTTGATGTATGGCAGGAACACTTTTCCTCTGGGTGGATCTTCATCCTTACTCTCGTGGCTTGTTCTTGGTCTTGCAGCTCTTCTGATGTCTGAGGTGGAGTATCCATTGGCCTGGAGAGCCCAGTTGAGGTGGTTCAGTTCATCTTGGAGGAGGTGGGGTTCGCAGATTGTTTTTGCACGGTCTGCCAAGACTTTAATGGTGCTTCTTTTTTGACTTGGGTGATGGTTGGAGTTTTTATGGAGTTTTCCTATTTCCAACAGACCTCACTACCTCTGAGGATGCTTGCCATAGATGCAGGCGAAACGTCAGGAGAAATGCCTCTAGAACATGACCCTATAGCCCGAAAAAACTTACAAGAACCTAGTGATTCCAGCCATGAAAGCCTTCGACAATACAAGATTTAGTTCCCCTATTGTAGAGGCAGCTTAAAAGGATTCAGGTTTCCTACATCTCACCCTGTTGAATCTATCAATCCTCAAACCACTGAAACAATTAAATAGAGAAGTACCCAAGTGATTTTTTTGGAGTGTAAATATGATCAGTAAAAGTTTTGATCTCACAGTTGCAGTAATGGTTGCTTTGAAATTTGGTACAGCAGAAGCAAAGTCATTGGTAAACTTGTTCTTCAAAGCTCAGAATAACATTAAGTTTGCTGCAATTAAAAGAGTGCATCTTGAGAATACAATTTAAGCTCTATAGGGTAAACGGAATAATTGAATAGTTGGATTAGGGTCTTAGATCATGTCCACGATAGGAAAAAAAATCATCAAACACAGCTGAAATATCCAGGACAGTACAGTCAGTCTCGCTTATCCAACATAAACAGGCCGGCAGAACATTAGATAAGCGAAAATGTTGGATAATGAGGAATTAAGGAAAAGCCTATTAAACGTCAAATTAAGTTATGATTTTACAAATTAAGCGCCGAAACATGTTTTACAACAAATCAACAGAAAAAGCAGTTCAATATATGGTAACGTTATGTAGCAATTACTGTATTTATAAATTTAGAACGAAAACATTGCAATGTCTTGAAACAGCTGCGGATCCGGGCGGGAGGCAGACTGCGTGGGATAATACAGAATGTTATGAGTGAAGGTTGAACAAGCAAGACTCTACTGTCGTATGAAGGTTATTTAAAAATATATAGAAATAAGTGTTTGTATGAGTATGCTTCACCTGCACTTAAGGCACTAAACACATAGTTAAAATAACTATGGGTTACTAATTAACTGCTCAAATCTTGTTGCTTGTGAGCAAACAATATATATGTAGGAATGATGGTTTAATAAAAAACAAAAGAAAGTGCAAGGCAACAGGTTTGTGTAACACTGTTCTAATGGGCAACGTACCTGATTCAGCACAAAATCAATACATGGACTGACAATTATGACTGATGAATGTCGCCATTGTCTTGTGTTCCTCAATGAAAGCAAGACCTTTAGCATTAATTAGCAGAAGATGAATGAATATCAGCAACTATGAATGGGGTTTGTTGCATTTATTATTTCACGACATTTAGTACAAAATACAGAATGAGTTACATACGAATTACATCAAAACCTGAGTGTCCTTTAAAAGGAAAATTATGCCTTCTTGAGCTTTCCTATAAAATCCCAGCTGTGTTTAATGCACAGCTTAAAAGGCAAAAACATATTAGTGTTGGAAGCAGCCAGTTACGGTGTCCTTATACCATCCCTTATAGAACAGTATAAACCTATTCCACTGAAAGTGGAGTAACAATTCACATCCAGTTTAAAAGGGAGGTATGCTTTTCTTCAACCAGCACATGTTCAGAGAAGCCTGCTGTTGAAATGTTTTGCCTTTCTGCAGAAATACTGACTAGGATATACACACAAAAACCAGCTTTGTTGACAAAAAGCAATGAGGTACACAGGCAATCGATAGCTGCTTGTAGTTGGATAAAGAGCTTAAAAGCAGAACATATCCTTCCCAACAAGTAGCAGCAGAGACAAGAAACCAGAGACTTCAAGCTATACATTTTGTGAGGGTTGAAACATCCACTTGGCTTTTAAAGGGTGCGGGGTGGGGATTGGCATTTTCAAAGATGGAAGCACTGGATATCATATTCACTAAAATATTTCCAATTAACAGTTGCAAAGTATTGAAGTGGGGAAAGAAAAAAATTAGATTAAAATTTAATTTAATCAATTTCCAAAGTTCAGAACAATCAAGGATGTGGGAATTTCCTGTAAACTGGAGCGTGTTTACTCTGTGTCTCTGTATATCTCATATTTATGAATAATGAACAAGTGATTGAAAGAATTTAAGGCTTTTAGGAAAAACATACTTGTTGCTCTTCCAAAATGGAAGCAATGCCTCATTGAAATTTCTGGATTTTCTGACTACTGGATGACGGCTCTTCCAGTTATGTGAAGAAACCGGAAAACTGAATTTTTAGTTAACCAGACTTATCTTTGTGCTTCACAGTGCTCTTTGCTACATATTGCTTGATGTTGACACAAGTGGATTAGCTACTTCTTTATTTTTTCTTTTCCCCACTTGATAGGACAATGATACTACTATCGTTCAGATTAACTCTGAACGAATTCATGACAAGTAGCATTGTCATGAATTTAACAATGCTACTTTATATTTTACGCTCCTGAAATCTCAATTCGGTTTCAATTTGGTTTCAATGATGACATTGCTCACCTTTCCATAGGAAAGTGGTTCTTAACCTGTAGGTCCCCAGGTGTTTTGGCCCTCCCAGAAATCCCAGCCAGTTTACCAACTGTTAGGATTTCTGGGAGTTGAACGCCAAAACATCTGAGGAGCCACAGCTTGAGAACCCCTGCCATAAGGGAAGGTCTCCAACCACAGGGTTGTATAGTGGCTTCATCCACTGCAATTGTAGCACAGAAACAATAATTTCTAATCCTTTATTTAGACTCTTGAATTTAACAATGCTACTTGATGTCAATGCATTTATGGTACTGAAATCTCACCATTCACCAAAATTTCAATGATGGCTTGATGGCCCTGGGACACTGCTCACCTTTCCATAAGACAGTGGTTCTCAACCTGTGGACTCCCAGGTGTTTTGGCCTACAACTCTCAGAAATCCCAGCCAGTTTTCAAGGTTTTAGGATTTCTGGGAGTTGAAGGCCAAAATATATGGGGACCCGCAGGTTGAGAACCCCTGCCATAAGGGAAGGTCTCCAACCACAGGGTTGTATAGTGGCTTCATCCACTGCAACTGCAATACAGATACAATAATCCTTAATCCTTTATTTAGACATTTACATGATTATCACATCAACTGCAATACAAATACAGACAATATTCATCTTCTGATATACCAGGACATCTAACTTCATATTGGTTTGGAAAAGAAATTAATCCCGAACTATCACAAAAATCTTTGGTAATTTGCAATAGTTTTAGCTTGAAAAGTGCAAGAACCATTGTCAACTGACTGAGGAGGAGAAATTTTCTCTGGTCAATGTCGGTTTCCTGTAATACAGGGTTTTTAGGGAATATTCTCTTTAAAATATATGTCCTTTTAAAAAAAGAAGCACCAAGCCAGGAAAGATCCAGCAATTGTTCAGAACCTGGGCTAGTGGACTGCAGTTCAACTTACAAAAGGAACATATTCTGCTTCCAGAAGAAGAATTAATATTTAAGTTGTTCCAGCATTTCATACATCCTTCAGCCAAGTGCTTTCTGGCCATCATTAGCTTCTGCCCTGCTGGGATGTTAATGCCAGCAGTCTCTTACTAAGTAGGGCATTGTGTCGTTGAAGGTACTCAATCACATCTCCTTGTTTTTCAACTATTTCTTCCAAGCTTGAGGTGTCCCTGAAAGGCAGAAAATCAAGCAATTCTTAAGAGTTTCATTTCCTGCTGTGACACTCATTTCACCAAAGGGAAAAAGAGCTTTTCTGTTTCCAGATTTCTTTTCATTCATGTCCTCTAATATTTTCCAGTATTACCATAATCACACCTATTTCCCAGTATGGTACTGGGATGTAATCCAACACGATACTGTCAGGACCTGAAAGATGCCAGAATCAGTTTATGGATTTTTGTGTAAATATATCTGTTTATGGATTTTTGTGTAAATTGGAGCTAAATACCATGTGACCTACTACACATTCCTATCCATTTGGGGGAGAGGGGAGCATTGTAGTAGTGCCCCCGGTGGCACAATGGGTTAAACCCTTGTGCTGGCAGGACTTCTGACCAACAGGTCAGCGATAAGAATCTGGGGACAGTGAGTTGAGCTCCCTCTGTTAGCTCCAGCTCCCCATAAAGGGACATAAGAGAAGCCTCCCACAAGGATGGTAAAAACATCAAACAGCCAGGCGTTCTCTGGGCAACGTCCTTGCAGACGACCAATGCTCTCACACCAGAAGCAACTTGCCATTGCTCAAGTCACTTCTGACACACACACAAAAAAATGTCAGTGCTGCCACAGAGCTCATTATTTTTTCCTTCCCTCCTGAAAGGAAACAAGACACTATGCAGTGCAAGATAATACTTCTGTTGTCTTCTGCACAACGAAGACTGGATATAATTGCAACCAAATCTCAGTAATGGGTCCAGTGCAGTCCCCTCACACCCAAACTATCCACCTTTTTTATTGTGTCAGAAGTGACCTGAGAAACTTCAAGTCACTTCTGGTGTGAGAGAATTAGCCATCTATAGGAACATTGCCCAGGGGACCACCAGATGTTTTTCTATTCTGTGGGAGGCTTCTCTCACGTCTCCACATGGGAAGATGCAGCTGACATATGGCAGCTCACCCTATCTCGCATATTCGAACAGCCAACCTTCAGGTCAGCAGATCAGTCGGCACAAGGATTTAATCCATTGAGCCACCACGATTCTAACTGATAAGACATAATTGAAAAAACCATAGCACAAAATACATTAGGAGATATTTATCACATCACAAATTACAGAAATATCAGCGAAACCCACTAATGGTGTTATAGCACAATGTGTGTGTATGTACCTTCAAGTGGCAGACAGACTTATGGCAATTCCATCCATTTCATAGGGTTTTCTGATTCAAAAACTAGTAGGAGGTGGGTTTTGTTAATTCCTCCCTCTGAAATGTAGCCCACTGCACCATTGGTCATCTCCCATTCATGTATTAACCAGGATTGACCCTTTTTAGCTTCCAAGATCAGATGGGACCGGGTGCCTTGAGAACATTTATGTCCACTACGCTTTTAAAATCCATTTTTTTAAAATTAAAGTTTCTAGCTGCTTCAATGTATTATCTTTTCAATAAAGACCATGTGAATGGGGACACTTTTTAAACCTATGCTTTTAAAATAATGTTTCATATGGTTTTAATTCTAGGGAACAATATTGCTTAAACATTTGCATCCTTTGAATTCTGTGTTGCTTCATTTCTATCTCTTTTTATTCTGCAATACGCTTTGTGCACCACTCTTGGGGAAATGTTGGGATATAAATAAAATTATTCACTGAACAAAGAACAATAGAGATTACCTGAATCCAATTTCGGAGGTAATTCGATTAGGGTAAGTATACAACTTTTCCTCTTCTATTATATCTGGTCTTGGTTTTGCTCGATTAAAGTTGCTTACCTTCACTGGGATTAAAAATAAGATGTTTAAATACAACTGAACTTTAGCATATTAAAGCTTTTTCTACATTATACTGAAGTTTACTGAAGCCTGAGCTTGTTCATACAAGTTAGTATCTTACTTTCACCTGTACCCCAATGGAGTTGATACAAACACCAATTTAAAAATAGACAAAAATAATGAAAACAAAGTTACTAGAAACAAAGATACAAGTAGAAGAACAAGAGGAGGAGGAAAATGGGGAAGAGGAAGAAGGAGAATGAGAAAAAGGAAATTCAAAGAGTCAAACATAAAAATGTTAAATTAGGCAACAACTGAATCAAGAGTGTGTTCAAAGAGCAAGGAAACAAGTTAATCTTTTGGAGGCAAGTCCTCCATGTATATGGGATGCTGTTATACATAAATACCTCCTCATGAGTTGCTGCCAAATGTGTCTCTGATGACAGTAGCATACAAAAATGGACCACAACAAGTGGTCTTTGGACAGATAGACTGACCCAGAAAGAAATGGTCCTTCGAGTAGTTTCAAGTATTTGCGGCTCTGATTGGTGACACGTAACACACTGAATCACATTCCAATGCTTTAAAACCTGCCCTACCACCCGAGAAATGAACAGTTTATTTGACTTGCAGGTTTTTTCTTTTTATTTTATCCTGCTTAGTAATGCTGACTTGTTGTTAACTGTTTAGGTTGCTTCAGAATTGTTTTAAGTGGTTTCTTGCGAAATCTCTGCACACAAGATATAAATACTTTTAATAAATAAGTTAATAACATTTGTCAGAAGATGTTTTTTTCTTCTGGCTCTGTTCTGCATGTGGCGAAGCATTCTTGAGCCAAGTGCAGCCCATTTCCATTAAAAAGTGCAGCACAAATGGTCAGAGGAACACTAATATTATTTATTTTTAATTAATTTATTTATAGTATTTATATTTGACACTTCTCACTCCGAAGGGGACTCAGGGAGGATCACAGAACACATATACGGCAAATATTCAATGCCGTTTATACACTGACAGGACAGACAATTGTACACAGAGGTATATATAGGCTTTTCCTATCTTCGCCATCTTAGAGGCTTGTGCTTGGTTCTGGCCGAGGCGGGCGAGGGGTGCTGTCACTCGATCTCCCTGCCGAAGAGTTTTGCTTATAAACTTCCTCCTTGATCTAATTGACATTTCCTTAAATACCTCCCCGCTATGTATCTACTCATATTTTGTTTTCTAACTGCTAGGTAGGCAGAAGCTGTACTAAAGGCCAGGAGCTCACCCCAATCTAGGCTTCGAACTGCCAACCTTTCACTTGGCCTTTCAATTGGCAAGATTTACTGCAGCTGGTGATTAATCTGCTGTGCAAAAGCCGACACAGCAATGTTACACTCATTTGGATCCTTCACCTCACATCATTCAAACACAGAGGCACCAGATCATGTTTTGGATATGATTTATGATTGCGCAGTCAGTGTGCACACATTTTTACAATGCACAAAAGGAGAAATCCCCTTTTTTAAAAACTTAAAGAGTCTGAATTTCCACTCAGAAAATAAAGAAAAATGGAAGCAGGTATAAACAGGAAGCAACATGCTAATTTTCAAATCTACATAGGCACTGACTTAATTGTTTACTACCAGCTAATAAAATTGTTATTTGACGATGGAGGTCTGCTTTGATTTACTGGAAAACATGAAGACATAGCCTGTATACTCTCTCTGAGTGAAATTATAACTCAAAGGATTTCTAATCCCACTGCTTGGGAAACAGCACATATTAGAGTTAAATGTGTCATCACTTTAATGCTATTCTGGACCAGAGCAAAAAATATATATTTGGTTTGTGTTTCAATTCAGCTGGGTTGTTCATCAAAAGTAGGTGGCATGTGAATGTACCAAATCACTTTTGAAAGAAAAGTAGTTCCCACATCAACACAATGCTTCATTCTCATTGACTCTGTCAGCATCACCTTTTGAACAGTCCACTTCTTCCTATCTCTAGTATCATTGCTTTACCAGACCACCTGCTGTGTAGGAAAAGTTTGCATGACTGATCAGAACAGCAACTAACGCAGATGTGTAAACAAGCTGTAAAGTAATCAGTTTCCTCTCCATCTAACTCACAATTCATCTATTCAGGTCAAGATCTGATTACCTAAACATACGCATCACAAGAGGCTGAAAACTAATTATATACACCAACAGGTGTCCCAAAGGATTCAGAAATACAATTCCGATCTATTTGGTAGGGCGAGTAGTGCAGAAAGATTGGAGAGGCAAAACGGAGAAATTAGTCATTCTTTAACACAGAAATAACATCTTTCAAGATTTGGGCTCTAAAGTAAAGCCCAACCACTAAACATCAAAATCTGAAAGGCATGGCTATAACCCAGAATGGATGGTGCAGCTTTTTAACAGGGACATCTATTAATACCAATTTATTGTTGCTGTGCACTTTCAAGCTCTTACCAGCTTATCTTGATCCTAAAATAAACCTTTCATGAATTGGGTTGCTGTGAATTTTCTGGACTGTATGGCCATGTTCCAGAAGCATTCTCTCCTGACATTTCACCTGCATCTACGGCAGACATCCTCAGAGACCTCACAACCACTGAGGATGTCTGTCATGGATGCAGGCAAAACATCGGGAGAGAATGCTCCAGGAACATGGCCATACAGCCCAGAAAACTCAAAGCAACCCAGTGATTTTTTATTATTATTATTATTTTGGTCGTGTCAGGAGTGACTCCTGGTGTGAGAGAATTGGCCATCTGCAAGGACGTTGCCCAGGGGACGCCTGGATAATTTGATGTTTTTATCATCCTTATGGGAGGCTTCTCTCATGTCCCCGCATGAGGAGCTGGAGCTGATAGAGGGAGCTCATCCGCCTCTCCCCAGATTTGAACCTGCGACCTGTCGGTCTTCAGTCCTGCCGGCACAGGGCTTTAACCCACTGCGTCACCGGGGGCTCCAACCCAGTGATTCCGGCCATGAAATCCTTCAACAATACTTTCATGAGTTTTTCTTGGAAAGATTTATTGGGGAGGAGTTGCTGTTGCCTTCCTCTGAGACTGAGACAGTGAGACTTGCAAAAAGGTCATCCACTAGGTTTCCATGGCTGAACAAGGATTCAAATCCTGATCGCCAGATTCATAGTTCAACATTCAAGCCACTATACTATGGTGTCTTAATAATGGCAATGCCAACATCATGTAAGATAATGCCACTTTGAGAATGGAACCCAACTCAAATAATTCTGTGCCAACTACAAGAATATTCAATTTACTAGGGAATAAACTTTTGTGAAGTAAATCTTACATAATTTAGAATAGGAGATAGATAGTGAAGAGGAGAACAGACATGGAGACAAGAGAAGCTGGAAGTGAAATCTTTTGCAAAGCAGAACTAAAAGTGGAGAACAGATGCTATACGTATGCTAAAAGGGTTTAATACACAGAGCAACTGTGAGTATCAGCAACTCAATAGATACAGACAGATCTAGTTTCACACATCATAAAGTCTGTTTCAGAATGTTATCATTCTTCCATCCTGCCACCATCCTAGTGGCATTTTTATTTTGTGTGAAAACGATATACATCATAGTAAATTGGTTATGGAAAACTGGTTGAATAGTTTGAAAAATGTCTGATGTTTTCTGTTCTCAGAATACAGTAAAACAAAGGTAATGTTCACACTGACTGTTATTTACATTCAGATCTATCTATCTGTCTGTCTGTCTGTCTGTATGCAGCCCAGGGATGTGGAACTGCCTCCCTGGTGTTTTGGACTGCAATTTCCAGAGTGCCATACTGGTTAAAGCTGAAGATATCTGTAGGGCAAAACACCTGGAGGGTCTAAAGTTTCCCACCACTGATCTAAGTCAATTTGTTCAAGGTACTATCTTTTTTTGTCCATTGCATAAATGGAGTCTGAATATGCTTGGAGAGACTTTAAAACCCAAGACAATTATAGCTGTAAGACTCCCTTCATCTGAACTTCAGCAAAGCAAACCCCAGTAAGACCAAGAAAGCTGTCCTATCAGTTCTCTTGTCTTAAAAACATCAGTGACAGCTCTTTTAATGTAAGATCTTACAGCTGAGTTACTAACACTCAGAGCTACTCAACTGACACCATTAAAAGCCAATTGTTTTGTTTAAAAAAAAAGCACTACAATATTTCTGTCCTTGGTTCCCTCTCTATAACATTTTACATTGTATTTGCGTTGCTGTCAACGCTATGATATTCTTTCTTCACTGGAAAGATAACCAAGGACATTATAACACATAGCGTTCGCATATTGCATTCAAATTTTATCAGGTTCTGTGAATTGTGGAAGTACCTCTTGCATCAGCCACTTCCACAGCAACCCTGTATACAAAAATTGAGAGCCTTGCACTATGTGGGCCGAGATGGAGCTGCGTATCAGTGCCAGGCAAGAAACCCCTTCAAGCAGCTGCTCAGCCACAAAAGATGGCTCTCACTGCCAAGCGAGGGATTTCTGAATCAACAGCTGCATTTTGTGTGTTCTGTTTTTGTGCTGGAAACTGCCCCAAGCTTTTGGGATAGGGCAGCACAGAAGCTGAAACAACATTTTTAGTGTCGTGCTAGTGAATACGTTTGGACCTCCCACTCTGAGGATTTCTAAGGTTTACTGCAACAGCACAAAGTTAGAAATGCTTGACTAAACATCAGCTTCAGTGGCTTCTCCTGATGTCAGCTCGGTTCTCAAACATTCTGAATACACAAAGGCTATTTAAACACTAGAATTGGCACACTTCATCTAGTACAGAAGTCCAACATGTTGGAACTGTAGTACTGAAGAATGTTAGATAGCCAGCTGTCTAATCCGAGTCATATCATATCTTTAGAATGTATATGGAAAGGAAATGATGGGTTGTAGTGTTTGAAGAATATGGGAAATCATATCAATGGTTAGCCCTCCACATTTGATGGAATTAGGGGAGCAGGGCTTCTGCAAAATAAAAAAAATATACCACTATTTCATTTCACACAAGAGGAAGCCTCTCTAGGAATCTCTAGATCCTCTAACACAGTGTATCTCTACATGGGGGCCGGGACCCCTGGGGGGGGGAGGGGTCGTGAGGGGGTTTCAGAGGGGTTGCCAAAGACTATCAGAAAACATATATTTATGATGGTCTTAGGAACCCCTTTGGCAGAGAAGGCTGAAGATCTCTCCACCTGTCCTTCTCTTCCTTTTTGGAAACTGACAGTGAATCCTCCTACTAAAAGCCCTCCTTTGCTGTAATGGGCCCACCTCTCAGCCAAGGGGAGGGCTGTTTTTTAAAGTCCAAGAGGGGAGGGGAGAACAGAAGTGCCCAGAGCATGGCAGACAAGGGAGAGTTTGTGAGGCTGGAGGAAGGCTCACGCCAGCGAGTCCCTTCAAGGCAAGGGGGTTCTATGTGGGAAGTTTGGCCCCATTCTATCGTTGGTGGGGTTCAGAATGCTCTTTGATTGTAGGTTAACTATAAATCCCAGCAACTACAACTCCCAAATAGCAAAATCAATACTGCCGCCTCTCCCCCCCAACCCACCAGGACTCAAATTTGGGCGTATTGAGTATTTGTGCCAAATTTGGTCCAGTGAATGAAAATACATCCTTCATATCAGATATTTACATTACAATTCATAACAGTAGCAAAACTACTGTTAGGATGTAGCATCAAAAATAATTTTATGGTTGGGGGTCACTATAACATGAGGAACTGTATTAAGGGGTGGTGGCATTAGAAAGTTGAGAAACTGCTCTAACACAACTCCATGATCAGCCTCTCCAAAAGTTGACCTTAGAATCTCAACAGAGGACATAGAGATTCCTAAAAAGACATTTTCTCAAATAAATTTCTTCAGAATTACTTTATGGTTAACATCTGGTGGCAACTGACCACACAGTCTCACTGGAGGCTCCATAAATTCCTAGAGAGAACATTTGTAATCAAATCTGCAAGCAATCATATCTGCAAAGGTCAAATCCACAAATATGGAGGACCAACTGTTTGTCTAGTTTGACAAATAATAAAAGTAAAATACTAGTTTGTACTAGAGCAGTTGTTCTCAACCTGTGGGTCCCCAGATGTTTTGGCCTTCAACTCCCAGAAATCCTAGCAGCTGGTAAACTGACTGGGATTTCTGGGAGTTGTGGGCCAAAACACTTGGCGACCCACAGGTTGAGAAACACTGTACTAAAGGAAGAAGTTTTAGGAGGCAAAGAAAACCTTCATTGGAGTGCTTGGAAGCCAAGACCATCTGGGGACCTACAGGTTGAGAACCACTGTTATATGGTTACTCTTGTTTGGTTTGCTTTCTGTATTTTGAATGCAATATAGGTTAAGACTCCATTGTCTTACATATTTAAGCTTGCGGTTTATAAATATTAATCCTTATATGTTTCATATGGTTAAAGATCGTTTGTGTGTGTGTGTGTGTAAACATACTTTTAAAAAAAAGAAAAGAAAGAAAGGGTGGGTACAACATTCCATTATAAGGCATTTACATTAACCAAAGCAATGCTGAAGTTCTCACCTGTGTAGATAACAAGGCATATCAGTGAAAGTATTAGCTCCGCAGTCAAGATTCCAAGGATGAAGCAAAGGTACAGTTTATTGTGTTTAGGAAAAGAATGCTGGGCTGCCATTATCAGCAATAAAGCTGCGTTACCTATTAAAAACAGATGGTACACGTTAGAGACAAAACCATCCAGACATTTCAAGGCCCCAAACTTCCCTCAAAATAGCTGTAACATAGAATCAGAGTTGGGAAATAACTTATTACAAGTTAATAACTCTACTTGTAACATTCCTTTTGAGGGATAACAAGTGGGAAACTTTAATTTTCAAACAAAAAGACTAGCAACATAATAACCTTTGAGGATGTAATGAAAAACATGTACTTGTTACTCTGAAAATTTTGTTTTTGGATAGTAGGATGGAAATTTGGTGTGTTTTTAATTTTTTTTTTAAAAAAATCAATAGATAAAACTGCAATTTAAAATATTACTGATGTTACAGTTGTGTGCCTTCAGGCCATTTCTGACTTCTGGTGACTTTAACGTGAACCTTTCTTGGGGTTTTCTTGACAGAAATTATTCAAAGGGTTGCCTTTGCCATCCTCTAAGGCTGAGAGAACGTTACTGGTCAACGATATACCAATAAAAAGTTGCTTTAACATGTTATACACCAGTGCTTCTCAACCTGTGGGTCCCCAGTTGTTTCAGCCTACAACAGCCAGAAATCTCAATGAGTTTATCAGCTGTTAGGATTTCTGGGAGTTGAAGGCCAAAACATCTGAGGACCTATAGGTTGAGAACCACTGTTTTACACACATAACACAGTGAGTTAAAAGGATTTTTGAAATGTTTGGAGCCTTGCATAAAACAACATTGAACATGCAACCAGTTCTATCCAGCAGCCAGAGGAGGAAAAAGGGATGGAGAGAGGGAACAGGGGACTTTTACACATTGTTCCTATAATCTTTTTGACAGAGGAGAAAGCTATGGCCTGATGCTGTCCTTTTCCCCATGTATCCTTCCCAAACATTTGACCATCAACATTGATAAATTACATAAAGATAGTGGATGAAGCTTTACAAAACAGAAAAGCATCACACCACTTCATGCTTGCTTTGTGAAAATGGAAATGTAGGTTAATCTCAGTAGAATCTCAAAATATGATATCTTTCTGCTGAAATAAAATACGATGAGAAATGTATAATACCCCGTCGCTTACAAGTAGCACAAGTAGTAAAGGTAAACATTTCCCTTGCCATTAAGTCTAGTTGTGTCCGACTCTGGGAGATGGTGCTCATCTCCATTTCTAAGCTGAAGAGCCGGAGTTGTCTGAAGACACCTCTTAGGTCATGTGGCCAGCATGACTGCATGGAGCGCCGTTATCTTCCCACCAAAATGGTACCTATTGATGTACTCACATTTGCCTATTTTCGAACTGCTTGCATATTTTCGAACTGCAGAAAGTGGAGCTAACAGCCGGAGCTCACCACTCCCTGGATTTGAACCTCCAACCTTTTGGTCAGAAAGTTCAGCAGCTCAGCGGTTTAACCCGCTGCATGACCAGAGCAAGTATAGACACAAAAATAGTTGGGCTACATTTTTAAAAATGTTTTAACAGTATACCTAGCTGAGACTTAATACAAATCGAAAGAGACACCTTGTCTGGCATGCCCTTAATGAGATCATTAGCTTAATTTTCTCCAACTCCATTCTCTTACATACCTCAGTTGCACTAAAACAAATATTTGGAGCCATCGGAAGTCCTTGTTTTTACCTTAACTGCTCTCCTTTTCTGTTTATTTCTAAGACTTATGTTACATTTCAGTTCTAAAAGAACAGCACAAATTTACAGCATCTACAACATATTAAGATAGTGTTAGTTTAGTTTGCTATGTTTTTTGATTTTGTCATTATGTATGAAGTTTTTATTCTTGCCTGATTTGATATTTACTTGTTGGAAGATGCCCTGAGTCCTTTTGGAGAGGTGGTCTATAAATAAAGTTTATTTATTTATTTATTTATATTTACAACATACATACAATTTACATAGAGACTGTGTTGGTCAGAATGCTATTCTGATAATTGATGGAAATTTGAAGTCAGATCTACCTGGCAGGTTTTTAGAATGTATTGAAATGATTAAATGCTAATATTACATTTAACGTTAACCAGCCGCATCACATATATATTAGAAGATTTGTCATTTGCACCCTGTGTATTTGTTTGAATATGCAAGCAAATCTCAAGATAGCTAGTAGTTATGGCTTTTCTCACAGAAAGCAACATTTTATCTCCAGTCCCAGAGCTCCACCTAGTGGCCACATCTCAATAATGTATTTAAAGTAGAAAACAGGCAGAAGCTATTAGGTTCACAGATTTTATCAATATTTTAGTGGGATATTCAATGTACATTCTTGATTTGGATTTTAATCAAAATAATGGGTGTTTTGAGTTATTGGACACTTCCAGTTTTGTCTTCTTATTACATGATGTAGACATAATCGGTTAACAGACTAGTAGAAATACTGGGGCAAAAAGCACCCTTCTTTCTAAGTATGACACATGCATGTAGCACTCAATCTCTTGCTGATTACTCCAATAAAAATAGAAAAATATTTCTCAATCTGCCAAACGATAACTCTGTCAAATGTTGCAGTCAATGTGCAGGTTTAGACTTAATCAGTGCCTAGATGAGAGGATAATGAAAACCAGGCTCCTTCCACACAGTTGAATAAAATCCCAGATTATCTTCTGGCAGTATGGACTCAGATATCCCAGTTCAAAGCAGATATTCTGGGTTATATGGCTGTGTGGAAGGGCCCCCAGAGTATGCAACCTTCAGAATTAATAGAAAGGAGGAGGGACATAATGCACTAATTATCTGGTAAACAACAACTTGATTTTTAAAAATGACCATTATACCAACTTATCAGAAACCTGAGTATCTTGCTAGACAAATCCATGCCAGTGTGGGGAAGGGGTTTACAGGTAAAACTGGTATCTTGAAATCCAAAGGAAAAGAATATATTATGGGTAGCTGGATTGGTCATGCAGAAAATTACATCAAAATCCAAAATCAACAATACTTTTTTGGGTGAAACCAAAGCATAAAATACCTTTTATGCATGTTTTCAAAGCTTCACTGGCTCTATTATCAAGCAAAGGTGTTAAAACCATACAGCAGAAAAATGCAGACGGTATCAAAGCCACCGGCTTACATATTATCTGAGATATTGTTAGTTAAGGTGGTACAGGTTGATATCCCTTATCAAAAATACTAGGGACCAGAAGTGTTCTATATTTCAGATTTTGCAGATTGATCACACATCTTAACATGAAATTTATGTTTCATATATACCTTATAGACGTAGCCTTAAGATAATTATATACTATATTTTAATAATTTTGTGCATGAGTCAAATTTTCTGTACACTGAACCCCCAGAATCAAAGGAATTTCATCCAATCATGTGAACAATTTTGGGGTATTTTGGAATTCTAGATAAGAAATCCCCCCCCCCCCTCCCGTGGCACAGCGGGTTAAACCACTGAGCTGCTGAACTTCCTGACAGAAAGGTCGGCGGTTCAAATCCGAGGAGCAGGTTGAGCTTCTGCTTTTAGGCCCATCGTCTGCCAACCTAGCAGTTCAAAAACATACAAATGTGAGTAGATCAATAGGTACTGCTTCTGCGGGAAGGTAACGGTGCTCCATGCAGTCATGCCGGCCCCATGACCTTGGAGGTGTCTGCAGACGCCGCCAGCTCTTCGACTTAGAAATGGAGATGAGCACCCCCACCCCACAGAGTCAGACCCGACTAGACTTAATATTAGGGGAAATCTTTACATTTAACCCTAGATAAGAAATGCTTAAAAGATTTCACTGCAGGCTGAGGCCATGCCCCCTTATTTGGCCAGGTGAGGCTTCTCCTTGCAATGAAATCCCTCAATACCATCGTAATTGACACTAGAATGTAAGCCAGTGATTCTCAACATCATTTTAAATCCTGTATGATTTTTAACATCTTTGACTGATAAAAGACCCAGTGACCCTTCAAAAGCTTGAAAAATGTTTATATTCTGGAGTTGACCCAATCAAGGCATCACTGCTTTCTGTATTTTGTAGAAGATAGAGCAAACTTTTTTGATGCTGCCGCAAGAGAAAAGGAGAAAACCCAATGGACTCTAATAAAAAGGTAAAAGATTCCACCTAAATAATAGGAAGAACATCTTTACTGTAAAAACTATCAGTAGAATAGATTGCCTCAGAAAGAGGTGAGTCTCCTCCTTTGGAGGTCTTTAAAAAGAAGCAAGGGGGTATCTTTCAAGAGTGTTTTGACAAGGGCAGGTGATGAACTAGATGCCCTTGTGGTGTCTTCCAACTTTACAATTCTATGAAAATGTGTGAGTATGGCAAATGCAATGGTTTAACTTGTCTTAGTCCTCAGGAGCCATGCCCCCCAAAGCTTGAAATATAACCCAAAACATGGAAGCAGGATATGAAAGTGACAGTACTGATCTAAAGAAAGAAGCCACCTCTATAAACCTTTAAGCAGGCAAAAACACCCATTGTTTTCTTTGGCACAAAAAATGTATTACTCAGCTTAGCATAATGGCAAGGAATATGTGATTAGGGCAACACTGCTTGTCACCAAAGAGAAGACACTCAGAGGACAGCCAGCAGCTTCTTTTGCTTCATCTTATTCATCTGTTGTAACACTACCTACAGGTAAACTTTATTGTGAAAGATATTCTTGAAAACACAACTCTCCCTGAACACTGTAGTAGTGATGAATAGTCCTTGGCTGAGATCCTGTATCTGCCAATGAAGTGGCTTTACACAACTTTCCAGAATATCAATGTAGCGTATGTGATCAATTGTCAACATAAATGCCTCACAACTCTACAACTGCAATACACAAGGCAATGCGTACTCCTACACTACTTTGGATATTTTAATATACTGCCACATGTACAATGGTTCCAACATGCACAACCCCACTTACATCACCATCAGCTAGATACAACTGCTGTGCATTGTCCAAAAAAAGAAAAAAATACACCATGTGCCTATTAGAACATACATCTTGATATGTTAATAATAGGATGCCCTTTGATGTTTTCAACTTACCTAAGTAAAACAAAACAATAGGAAACTAAAGCTAGCTACCCTGCTGCCAAAAACATCTAACACGTAAAGAAGAATTCATGTTTGAGAGATTCATAAGAATGACCAAGGATGGGAAATTAGCTCACCAGTAGACTGAATTAGTAGAGGCAGCCTTTTAAGATGTCTTGTGGTTCGGTAGATTAGAAGATAGCCTTTGCTTCTGACCTTGCTGTGCTGAAAGTGAATATATCGTTCCAGGAAGACATGGAGGATCCAGAGGATCACCTTTGCAATGATGATAACACTCTGTAGTTTCAATGGATTAGTGTAGCCTCCAGGGCAGACATCATCACCTGGCTCAGAGTAAGAACAACACATACCTGCCACGAAAGCCAAAACAACAAAAGCAACCTAAGGAATGAAGTAACAAATTGAAGAATTAGCATGAGGAGAAGAGCATCACCAAGGTAATATTACCAATATTTACTTAATGTGTTGTAAATGTAACTATTCTATCTATTTGTGCGGTGGCGCAATGAATGAAACCTTTGTGTTGCTGAACTGTTGATCTAAAGGTTAGCTATTCAAATCTGCGGGTTGGGTGAGCACCCGCTGTTAGCCCCAGCCAACCTAGCAGTTCGAAAACATGCAAATGTGAGTAGAGCAATAGGTACCACCTCGGCAGGAAGGTAAACAGGTGCTTCAAGCAATAATGCTGGCCACACAACCATGTGGTGTCTATGGACAATGTAGGCTCCTTGGCTTGGAAATGGAAATGAACACCTCCCCCAGAGCCCGAGTTGAGAACTGCCCTCAGAAGTCAGAGATGAAAGGGGAAGTCTTTGCCTTTTTCTGTGAATTTCTGTCTCATTGTATTAAAGCATTTAATGTTTGCCTGTGTTTGTATATATACTGTAATCCGTTCCAAGTCCCCTTGGGGAGATAGGGTTGAATATAAATAAAGTGTTGTTGTTATTATTTATTTCCATCTAGACTAGAGCCTTTACATTATGAGCTGAATCAGGTCAACAAGAAATTCTTCAGCCTTCTATTTAGAAAGCAGCTAACAAGGCAAATTCTCTCTAACACCAGCCCATGCCAGCATACTGAGACATTAAGATGGGACTATGATTAATGTCTATGCAGTGACAAATGGCAGAACATTTTGGTTTTTAGAAGCTATTAATTTTCTTTCTATATAATGAGTCTAAACCCTTGTTTTAAAAAACACAAAAACTAGCATTTGAAAATACTTTCATTTTTAATCATAATTCCTCATATACAGTCTGACTTCCATACCAATCACATATGTATTGCTAAGAATATTTTGGTATAGTGATAACCCTCTGAAACTGAGGTGTGTATTCTCTGGGGTGTTTGAGAATTCTTGGGCGTACAGAAACAGCCCTTGAACACTGTATGTGACCCACAGGCATTAAACTTAGTTCTGGTCTAAAAAATATCTGATCATTTTCATGTTCAACTTGAACTTACATGTAAAAACAACAAAACATTGGCAACGCAGACTGTAGGGATTGCATGGAACCTTGGACGCAATCTGGAATGCAATGCATGGTGTGGAAGGAGAGGAGCATCAAGCAGAGGGTCATCATCCGTACTCTGAGTTATTTCCAGAGACCCCTGAAACAGATTGACATAGTTATTACAACTGAAAGCAATAATATTTTGCACTTTAAACATGAAACGGCCTGAACTGGTTATATTTGCATATGCAAATTGTTATCCACCTGAAAAACAAGATCCTCCAATAAGCACATGTACTTGGAAGGAAGGACTTCAATGCAATTTTCACCACATACATATAATTACAAATAGTCACTCGCAAAGTAAAAAGATGATAGATTTTGATCTACTGGTAGATTTCTAGGTGACATTCAGTAAATCAGAAGGGATTTCTCATTCACGATTCAACAACTGCCTAAACCGCTTTCACACCTGCCTAGATTCACATGAACAAAGCTTAAGATACAAGACTATATTAGTCAATAATTCCAACGTTTGGGCACATAAATCTTAGTTCTAAGTATCTATACTAAGTTCCAAATGGAAAACCCCACTTTAGAGGTTTTTGGGTGTGGGTGTAGGGGAGAAGTATATCTGAAAAAGAAGAGAGGAAATACAAAGAGAGAAGATGAGGAAAACTCTGCTCATTCCTTTCTTTGGTCTTGCTAGGGATGAGCCAACCAGGGCTTTAGATAAGGTAGTTTACTTTCTGATCTCTCCATATCAACCCATAGATTGGCTTTGCTTGTTTTCTTTTATTGTTCCTAGAAACAATACAATCACATCTGTACCAGCATTAAGACAACATCTTGCCATTGCATGCTGCTCATAGAGACAAAGGCGAGTAAGAAATGTGAGTTGCTTTCACCCCTTCAGTTTGAACAAGGAGGGGCAATTTGATGAGAGCTTCTAATCTTTGCCTTTTGTCATTGCCTGTATGTTGGATTCTAGCACTAACCTGTGCATAAGCTTACATAGATTTTTGGATTCATTTTTTTGTCTGAGAAACTGTTTCCCCCGTAGATTTGTGGATCATGTGCATTAAACTAAATTGTTTGTGTTTTCCCCCGTAAAACACAAACAATTTAGTTTAATGCACATGATCCACAAATCTACCAGTAGATCAAAATCTATCATCTTTTCACTCTTGGTTTGCAATTCTTGTTCCTTGTTGCGTTTCTACTTTGCAAGAGCCTTCTGTGAGCTATAAATCCAGAAATCTCATGATCTAAATTTCCTTGTAACTTATTCAAAGGAAATGAAATTTTCCACTGATTTATTTTCAAAAGGAGATCAATTCCTTAACATGGTTGCTTGATATTTTCCAACTCTGTGCCAGGACAGCCCTTCCTGTTTTCTAGATATTTTGGAGAATGGCTCTAACGATTTGACTCACTGGCCATGCTGCCCAGGGCTGATTAAAATACAGTCCAGACTGATCCAGACCAGTTACCATCATATAGCTTTAGTCAAAATATGTACGATTACTGTTGGAAATAGCAACCTTCTCAAGCCTTCACTAGTTATTTGTTATGTATATAATTTAGATTGCTTACTGTATTGTATATGTGTGCATTGGTATGCAATTTGACTTTAATTCTTTGTTGTGGGAGGGGCTGCCGACCATGTGATCAGGACTGGGTTTGTTCAGGACTCGGACTCTATTTTAGAACAGAGTACCATTTAGGCTTCAGTAGAGAAGTATGCTTTAGACCAGGGGTCCTCAAACTTTTTAAACAGAGGGCCAGGTCACAGTCCCTCAAACTGTTGGGAGGACTGGATTATAATTTTAAAAAAGAATGAATG